TGTGTGTGTGTGTCTGTGTGTGTGTGTGTGTGTGTGTGTGTGTGTGTGTGTGTGTGTGTGTGTGTGTGTCAGAGATCTGAAGCTGGATAACCTGCTGCTGGATACTGAAGGTTATGTTAAGATTGCAGACTTCGGTCTCTGTAAAGAGGGTGAGTCACAGACTGTACCTGCTGTAATGATATTGATGGAGTTAATGGAGGAAGAGCATGATATTTGTTCACTGCTGGATCGGAGTGATCTGGAAATGACAGGCTGTGCTGCTGACTGCCTATTATTTTTTAATAGCTCTACCGTTCAGAGGTTTTGGGTCGGTATGTTTCTGAAAGAAGTCTCTTCTGCTCACCAAGGCTGCATTTCTTTAACCAAAAATACAGTAAAACAAATTTAAATTGTTAAAATATTTCACAACTCTTTTCTATTTGAATATATTGTAAAATGCAAATTTTTCCTGTGATCAAAGCTGAAGTTTCAGCATCATTACTCCAGTAATTGTTTTCAGATATGAAACCGGTTCTTTCACATTGTTATACAATTTTTTGTAAGCCAAAAAAGCTAAAAATCACAGCTGGTTTATTTAAATAATAAATACTGCAAAAAGAGATGCCCATAATAAAGCTATAAGCCCCAAGAAGCCATGGTTTACAGTGAATTTATTACAGCTAAGGGGTGTTGTTAGGTACGACGTGAAGCTAACCCTCTTAGCTGTTATAAATTCACTGTAATCCACGGCTTCACGGGGATTATTGCTTTTATAAAACGGTTATTCCATATACGTAGTAAGGTTTCACAAAATGAAACAGAGCAAATAAAGTGTAATGATATTAATAAAAACAGTATTCTTCCACCAAACAATGTAGTTCCTCAGAATCAGATGTGGTTCCAACAAAGTGGTTGCTGAGCAACAGACAAACGTAAACAAAGGTGTATGTTTGTAATTTACAACAGCTTCGAACCCGTCTCAACCAATCAGAATCTAGGACCGGAACTATCCGTTTTATAATGTCCTTTTCGCTCTTTCTGTCTTTTGAATGTCTTGTTTCTATCTTCTGTCCTGTAGGAATGGGTCATGATGACAGAACCAGTACATTTTGTGGGACTCCAGAGTTTCTGGCTCCTGAGGTTCTGACAGACACGTCCTACACCAGAGCCGTGGACTGGTGGGGTCTCGGCGTGCTCATTTACGAGATGCTGGTTGGAGAGGTATGCATGTGTCTGTGCAGTTTTTGCTTATTATTCTATTGTTTCCCAGGAAAATATATATATTTTTTTTTCTTTAAGCATAAATCTAACAAGATCTGCTGAAGTTCACCTCAAAATGTGATTCAGTAATTTTGTGTGGTTTTCAGTATAAATATCAAAAATGTCTTAAATCAACATACTTTTACTGCAGATGTAAAATAGTAACATAAGAAGTCTTGTTTTCTGATAAACATTTCTGATACATAATCTCTGTGTGTCCAGTCGCCATTCCCAGGTGATGATGAGGAGGAGGTGTTCGACAGCATTGTGAATGATGAAGTACGTTACCCAAGATTCCTCTCCACCGAGGCCATTGGCATCATGAGACGGGTAAGATTGTATTTTTTTCCCCAAAGCTGCTCTGATTGGCCAGGTTTGTTAACTTTCCTTGTTTTTCATCGGTAGCTGCTGAGGCGTAATCCTGAGAGACGACTGGGCTCCAGTGAAAGAGACGCAGAGGACATCAAGAAACAACCCTTCTTTAGAGTATGAAGACTTTGTCCCAATTGTTAAAAAAATTAGATGGGAGGAAATGGTATATTTCAATGTTTCTGCGATCTTTTGCAAAATGTTTGCATTCCCCCAAGAAACGTTGCTTTTGCTTGCAAAACATTTGCGCTGGCTTGTAAAACTCTTGGAAATATAGAAATAATACGGGGTTTTTAAGCTGTACCTAATACCTATGCAGAATTATGCAGATGTTTCGCGAGAGAATGCAAAGTTGCTTGGGGGAACGCAATACTTTTTTGAGAGAATGTAAAGTTTCTTAAGGGGAACGCAATACTTGTGTGAAAAGGTTCTTGGGGAAACGCAATATTTTTGTGAGAGCATGCAAATGTTTCGCAAGTTGCTTGGGGGAACGCAAAAGTTTTGCGAGTGAATGCAAAAGCATTGAAATCTCATATTTTGTTCCATCGCCATGTCCCTATAGGGGCTCCATATAATAATGCCAAAGTGTCAATCCTAGTGATGCCGTGGCTGACTCGTCTTCTCTCACTCTATAGAATATGGACTGGGAGGCGCTTCTGCAGCGGCGAGTTCCTCCTCCTTTCGTTCCTGCAGTGAAGGGAAAAGAAGACGTCAGTAACTTTGACGCCGAGTTTACGAATGAAGCACCGACGTTGACGCCTCCTCGTGAGCGCCGGACCCTTTCGCGCAAAGACCAGGACTACTTCAGGGACTTTGACTATGTCTCTGACTTCTGCTAGGGCACGAGTGTGCATACTGCCGCTGCTAGGTGTGGGAGATGTGGACCATTGTAACGACCTATCAGTTGTTGCATCCTAGTCCACATCTAGGCTGCTTGGCGTGAGGACTGACGCTTCCTCAGAGGTTTCCTGCCAATGGAACATGGGTTTGTTCAACATGAAAACCATAATAAAGGGTTTGACATCTCCTGACTGCCTATAGTGATTGGTTGATTGGAGCGTGAGGAAATTACTCCATCCGACTGTAGGAGGTACATCAAACATGAAGAGATTCAAGAATCCACATAATGTGAAGCTCTGAAAGCCGGCAGGCAAGATGTTCTCTTGTCCTGTTTGCAAAGTCTTTCATGACATTACCCTTAGCACCAGATGCTAATGAAGTAATGAATCTTGTGAATAGAGTGCTGCAGGGATGACATATTTTTGTAAGCCAAAACCAGGAAACGAGTTCGCTTTTTAACACATCCGGTTTCATCATCCTGATTTTTTTATGGGTTTTTGGGTTAATTGGTCTGTGTTTAACACAAGCTCAAGATATTTTCACATTTTATTCAACGACATAAAATACATCAATAATACTCCCTTGTCTTGAAAACGTCTGTTGCTAACAAATGGCTAAATGGGACTTCAGAGGTGTAGTTTCCAAGAAGTATAAGGATATATATCGCTCTCTTGCCAACTATTCTAAAATGTTTTGAAATAACGACTGAAAGAGCTGTCGTAAGCTTACTGGTGGTGTAGTTTGTTTATAGCCTATGTTGAGCTTTTTATTTTCTAGTGTTTTGTATTTGGCCTTCTTAAAAGATTTCTTTTATTTGTGAGGATTATCGTGATGAACAAAACATGAAAGAATCATAAACTTTTGTTTGGTCACAGAGCTTATTTTCTGCAGTAATCCAAAAGCCAATGGAGAAATCCTATTGGGTTTGTTTTGGAGGGAACCAGCGTGGATGCTAACTTATGGGTTGGACTACAATAATACATCACTGCAGCGCTCTATGGGAGCTTGTTGACTAGCAGAGTCCAGTTTCATGGTACTGACCAGAGTAAAATGGCTCACCGAATTCTCCCTTCTCCTGTCTTTCTGTCTCCATTTTCTTTTTTGACCAATGTAGCCATATCACACACAATCCAGACTGTTTACTTCTGTAATACACTCATTTAACCACACAAGGGTGGCAGAGAGTGTGACAGAGTTGTGGAAACACAGTTGTGTCAGGTGTGTGTTGTTTTGGGATCCTCGAGTTTGTATGCCTTTACTGTGTTATGAGCATGTCCCATAACGAAAGACAGCATCAACCTCTAGATTTTTATTTTTAGAGATATAGTTTTTCTTTCTCACTGAAACTTGACTAATTATGCTATGCCTGAATATGACTATATTAAACAACTAAACTCTTTTGGGGCAATATTATTTTTCTCATAGTCTCTTTTACGATTTTTTTTTTCTTTCTTTGGACCAGAGTCGAATTGTGGAAAATTTACCTAAGCAGGGAAAAATTAAGATTATGAGTGTTGCAGGATGAAACTGAACAGGAGCAGAATGGAAAGATCAATCCCACACAGACGTCTACAAACTAAAGGTAAGATGTGAACAACACATTCACATTTATATCAAATAGTTCACTCCATCAACTCCAATTTATTACCAAAGTGGCAGTGAAGGTGGCAGGACCATCCGTTACATAAGCAAATAAACCAGCGAGTGCTAAGCGTGCTGTGAGGAACTTGCTTAAAATGTGATGAAGGGATGGTTTGAAGTACTTTGAGATAATGACTCATTGTTCCCCAGAGGAGAGAAGGAGAAAGTATCCATGGAGACCAAGAGATGGAGCTGTAAAATAGGAGGTCATGTTCTGTGAACAAACTACACTCCTATATCTCATTCTCCCTCATGGACTAATTGAGTAATTGTTTATCTGCTCCATAATTGGGCTTTTTCCAAGCAAATCACATTACACTAAACTCCAGTAACATGACATCAAAACTCTGTCAAACAGTACATTAATTTCAGTTCTGTCAGGACCACTATCGTCAAAATGATAGATACT